TTGCCCTGGCTGCAAGGATTGGGTCTCCACCCCTCATACGTACTCTTGCTTTTGTATATACAGGTGTATATTCAAAGTTAACAACAGGGGATGCCTAAGGGCTGGCTGTTCTGCTGTGTTGAGAGGTCACTGCTCCTCTGGGATTGGGAATGGAGAAACCAAAGGTGTATCCCCAGGTGTTAAATGTTTAGAGAGCAAAGGTGCATCTGAATTTTTTTGAGACTCTTTTTTTTTTTTTTTTTTTTTCTTTTTTTCTTGAAGTTGTCTGTAAATCTTCCATGAGTGTCGTCTGCACTGTCAGTGACCCACTTGCTGAAAGCAGGACACGCTTTGTGCTTTGTATTTGTTTGCTCATCAGGCTAATGGAGGTATTTTTGGTATGCAGCTATAGATGGGTGTAGAGCTGGCATGATACAATAAATAGCTGGTATGAGATAACAGTACTCAAGCAGTCAGTCAATGGCAGAAATGTAATGATTCTTTAAAATCTTTATTTGCAATTTAATTTATCTCTAGGGTTCTTCATGTCAGAAATTCCTTGTCCACAACTGCTTGGTTGTGTTGGCTTTTCTCTCTTGCTTGTCATGTACATTTCAGATCCTCAGATGATGTTGTCTTGAATGAGAGGACTTGACCAAAAGCATGGTGTTTATTTATATAGCCATAATAACCTCAAAGAAGCAAACAGTGAATGACAGAGAGAACCAGGGATTTACATTCTGGGGACAGCACTAAGACAGCATGTGCAGGAGCTTAGCTGGAGCTGCTTGACTGGTTTTCTGCCTGTCTTCTGCAGGCAAAACTTGGTTTTAGTAGTAGAAATGTTTGCATTAGTTCACTTCTGAAAATGTTTGGAGCCACTGTGCTCTGTATTATGAGTCTTTGCCATGGTGCCAAACAGGCTGCTATAAACAAATGCAGATATTTACTTGGAAAAAAAGTTGCTCGGCGCATTTGTTAACCTTCCCTTTGTCTGTGCGCTGCTCACCCTTGCACATTAGCATCACTCTGTCCACACTTGGCCTTTGCCTCTCTGTCCTTGAGTACTGTCGCATTCTAGGAAGGACGAAGCACTGAGTGAGTGCTGTCCTCTGCCCTGCGGTGGGATTCTGGAGGGAGGTGACTTCTCTGCACTGGGTTGATGCTCTTGGGGACCTGTGATTGCCATCGTTCTGGGGATGCAGCTGAGCTAAGCTGCATGACAGCGACTGCACCAAAGGAAGGAGCTGTTTATCTGCCTGGCTGAGCAGTGCAAATGAGAAGACTGATTATAAATAAACTGGGAAAATGGAATCCTTGCTTCATTTAGACATCTGTTTTGAAAATGGTTATCAGGGGCCTGTCTTGTACCAGATGTCCTAGCACTGATTTTTGTAAGCTTTGACTTTTTTCCTGTCTTGTAACACTCTTCCATTACACTTACTCTGAGTGCTCTTTTCTGTTCGAGCACCTTGGCCCTTGCAGCCTGGGGCTCCTTTTGTGCAAGAGGAGGAAGATGAGGTGCTGAGAGGTCAATGGAGTTATCCAGAACTGTTCAGCAGAGCCAGGCACTGAACCCCAACTGGTTTCTGCTGCCAGATGAAGAATAACTTGCACCTCCGGGGAAGCTACTTGTCTTCTGCGAGAAAAGACTCAGGCTGTGGGAGTCCCCTTGTGTAGACACCTACAAGTCCCTTGGGTGTTTCCATCAGCTGTGACCCAGAGAGGTTCAGGGGATGTCAGGGCTTGGAGTAGGCTGCGGGGCATCCTTGTGTTGACTGTGACCTTTCTCTTCTCACCTGGGATTGAATGAGTCGCTTCCCTTGCTTAGTCTTTTAGTTTTAATGTCAGCATACACTTGATACCACAGCGCGTCTTCTAAGAGCACACGTATCCCAGATGCCTGCTATAGACCTGCGGGCTTCCTTCCACTGTCCCAGCAGACCTTATGCAGCACCTTGGAGCGTCTGGGCTAAGGGCCTGGAGGGTGGTTGTTATTTTCCCATTGATTTTATGAACAGAAAATGTCTAAAACTAGAAGAGCTTAACGCAGAGGGATACAGCTGCTGCTGAACAACCGAACGTAGCAATCAAAGGAGAGGCAGTGACCTTGGAATTAATTTAAATGACTTTTTCACTGGTCTTGAGAATTTAATGGCAATCCTCATAGGATTATTGAAAGGTAGGATAAATAATCATAGGAGAGATTAATTGATTTGCAGTGTATAGGTCTGACTTCTAATTCATATCTCCCCTTTTCTGCAGTGGTAGGTGGAAGCAATGCAATAGCAAAATTCTCATAAAGATGGCCAGAGAAGCACTGTTTATTGTGGAAGAAGCTCTTAAGATTTGTTGTCCTTCTTTCGGATTCAGTTTAATGTGGTGGCTTTTTTTCCAGGCTGGCATATCGTGCTGTCCTCTGTCGGGGGTAGAACAAGCATTGCATGATAAATATTTGAGGACTTCAGTTTGTGTTTAAGTGCCTTTAAAGACCTGATCCTGCTTCCCCTTTATTTTAAGCATGAGCGAGTTAGCTTTGTGGCAGTCAGTAGTGCTGTGTCTGTGTGATGTTCGTGAAAGAACCCAGAACAGTGACATTTCGTAGTCTGGATATCTTTCTCCAAAATATTACATGAATTTCAGATGCTTTGGATTGTTTTTTATTTCCTGGGCAAAGTATGCCTAGCTTGCTTGCTTGCTTGTTTGTTTTCCCTGTGTAGGTTTGTGAAAACTCAGGTTGTTTGATGCTTTTGGTTGATCAGATCTAATATTAATGATTGTGGAATATAGTGTAGATTGTGTGGATACCGTATCTATAACACAGTATGAAGCTTGCTCTGGCTGGAGGACATGCTGTGTAAAGCCCACCAAGGTGAAGTTACTCCTGCAGAAAAGAATTTTTTTTTTTTTTGTTGTACAAATTTGAGCTAGCTAATTCAGAGAGGTTCCCAGGTATCTGAGCTGGGACTTGAGATGCCCTTTGTTTAAAAGTGAGGAAGAGTACAAAATGAATAAAGTTCCCTGCTCCTAAAAGGAGAAATAAATCAACTCAGGCAGGTGTCAAAGGGAACTGTCAGCCCCTTCCACAAAGCCATATGCCTGCGGGTTTTCTGTGGGTGGCAAATAAATCATTTTGCCAGCCTCTTTCGTGCTCTGAACCAAGACAAGCGGTGCTGAGACAGTAACTCTTCCTCAGCCTTTTCCAGCTTCTTCCTGAATTTCACCTCTGAAGCTCCGCATCAGGTTCCCAGCTTGGTGGCACATGCTTCCGCCACCCTGTAAAACCAAAGCAAAGCTTCCTCCTCCAGCTGAGATCCCCTCGTTCTGCTGCTCCTACCACATTAGAGCATTGGTTTTTTGCTCAAAAGAAGGACTATGCAGGTGACTGAGTGGTATGGACCTTAGCTGGTGTTTAAACTGGTGTTTCATCTGGGATCAACCGTTTGCGTATTTGCTCTAATTCATAGGTGGGATTTGCAGTCTTCATTCAAATGTATCCACACGGTGCTATAAACATGCCCTGAAGGCATTTCATGGTGTGCTGTGGTGGTTGGAGCTCTGCTGAAGTCCCTGTTTGCTGTGGTGAAGTTACACCTGGATGTCATATCGCTTCTTGGCTGCCGATGCTCTTTGATTTGTGCTATATAGAACATGGTTGTCTGGTTGAGTTTGGGCTTAGATTTGTGTCTGCTGGCTTCAACAGTCATCCCATTAGTGGGAATCAAGGCAGTGCTGAGATTCAGAGTCCTTGGTTTATTTTCTCTTAAACAGTGGTGTAAATATAGCCCCAACCCTGTTGCCCATAAACCTCAGAAACAGCTTTTGCTGAAGCTCCATTGAAACAGATTTCTAGCTGTATTTTCCGATACGACTTTGAAAAGTTCAGCAAAGTCCGGGCTTTCAAGTGCCTGTTCCAACAATAACAGCTGAAGAAAGGAAAGCTGGCTGCTGCTGCTAACAAGAGGAAAAAGCGTGGCGAGGGATTGTGCTGAGGTGACGTTGCATCGGGGCAGGCGAGTGCAGGGCGTCTGGGTCGTGCCATGCACCTTCTTACAGCTCACTGCGTCTCTGGTCTGGCCCTTGCCCTGCTGCTCCGTCCCTTTGCTCTGACCCTGCAGGGCTCCGGTTGCGTGGGTCCCTCTGGGGGCAATAGTGGGGGCGAGGAAGGGGCTGTCCCGGAGGCCCAGCACCCCGCCGTCAGTGCTGAAGCATAACTTCACGTCATGGCAGGAGTCTCACCTGGTCCTGAAAGCTCAGCTTGCCTGGAAGCAATCGCACCGGCTGAAAGCAGTTTAATTTACACCCAAATAATTTATTTTAAATCTGCTTTTCTCGCTCATGCATTCATTTTACTTTATTGTAATGTCAGCACTTAGCAGTGAAGTAATGGCAGATCTCTGGAGAACTTCTCACAAGCGAGAAAGCACCATTATCTCAGTTTTACAGGCCCTGCTTATGTTGAGAACATATGTGGTGGTGTAATTACACTGATGTGATTAAATCAGTGCAAATCCTTGCTAGAGGGACACGCTGCACCACTGTAAAGCGGGGCTTATTATCGGTGCAGTTTAATTCAAATTACATTACTCAATTAAGCTGTGCTAGTATAAGCTAAAAGTCAGGAAGTCACGTGAGGGCCTCTGTTGTTTCTTTTCAAAGCAGATAAAGGTTTAGAAACTGAAACAGGGGAGGTTGTGCCTCGCTCTTGCCCAAGAGCGTGCTAGAAGGGATGGGCTTGATGAGTACTGTGTTTATAGTACTTCCTGGGAGGGAAGAGGTGTGGGTGCAAATTCAGGGGATTTATTATCATTTTTTAATAGATTAAATTATTTGTTTAAACCATAGTGACCACTTTGGAAAAGATCCTAAATCATACCAAGGCTTTACAAATAAATTAAGTAAAATGTGTACTAAATTCTAGTAAATCTCTACCACATGGGTTTGGACTCTGATAATAGCTGGATGGGTCAATGAATAACCATGGCGTGTACAACTTAATTGGATTTTGGTTTTTTTGGCAGGGTGTGGGCACTGTAAGAAAATGAAGCCAGAATATGAGAAGGCTGCAGAGTTTCTCCATGTAGCCAGTGATGTAAGCTAATTTCCTTTATTATATCCTTCAAATAATCAGTAATAAATAACTGGAGTAATAAAAGTGACTTTTCTCCCTACAACAAATTCAGCTGTTCTCATCCTCCCACAGGACCCTTCAAAATGTGCTTCCAAAGTACAGTCTCATCGCTAATGCATGAGCCCTGCCAAAGTCTTAGAAAGAACATTCTGTCTTGAATGAAAACAAAATCGAAAAATGTTTATGTATTCTGCTGTAGGCCTTATACATAATATGATCAAATCCAAAATGGATTTTTTTTTTTTCCCCCTTACTTAAAGGCATTGAATGTGAAGAAACATAGGCTTTCACTTACGAATTAGATTTATAAAAAACCAAAGGGGGTTGATCCCTCTTTCATATACCCTGGTTTTATGGTTGCATCACCCCATTAGCTTCATCTTAAGTGCTCCATCAGCATGGCTGGAGAAGAGAGATCCAATAATATAAGTATTAGTGTTATTGATTCAGTCTCACGCTGCGTACGCCATGCAAGAGGAGGAGTAGGATTAGTCTCCCCCATACTTTAATCTTCAGTGGAGACATCTAGAGTCCCTTTGTAGTTGTTGGAGAAGAAGGAGGAGATGAGAAAAACAAAGATCAGATGAGTCACACTCTACAAGTGTCTGTTCTCCTGTGACACTAAAGGTGGTCCATGTAAAGATGTCTGCAAATTAGGGAAGGATGAATTTCCCTTGAAGTAAGCTTGTCTTTAACAATGCTTGTTTCTTCTGGGAGAAACTGGGATTTGTGGGACGAAATGCTATTCCTTGGAACAGCTCTTAAGCATTATAAAGTGAATTACATACAGGGAATTCTGTCGGCAATGGGAGGAGAACAGGTAACAAGTCTGGTTACACTTAGTCCATAAGATGTTCCTTCCTGGTTTTGCATCAGTCCTCTGTGGCTTTCTGTGTGTCTGTGCTGAGTGCCTGAGAAAGCCACTTAGATTGTGGGTGATTGCCCCCAAGTCCCCTCTTTCCTGCCAAAGGGGGGTGTATGTTGCTGGGATTTACAGTTAGTGGTCTCTGTTTCAGAGTCCAGGTGTCCTTGCAGCAGTCGATGCTACCGTCAACAAGGCACTGGCAGAAAGATATCACATCTCAGGGTTTCCTACTTTGAAGTATTTTAAGGATGGAGAGGAGAAATACACTCTGCCACACCTCAGAACAAAGAAGAAAATCATCGACTGGCTGCTAAAGTAAGTTTTGAGGGTCTGAGATAGTATTTGGGTTCCTGGTTACTGGCTCCTGAAGACTGCTTTGGTGAGGAAGTAAATCTTAAACTTCATTGACTGCCTAAATCCTTTTCTAACAAAACCAAATTGAATTCCAGTATTCAAAGCCATACAAACATGTATGTTAATTATGGTCTCTAATACACCAAATCCTTTATTTGCTGTAGGGTTTTTCGTCGTTGTTCTGGTATTTCTTTCCCAAAATAAATATTTTTCAAATATACCCTAAGCCTCTCACCGGAGAAGGAATAGCAATGGCTGTGAAAAATAAACAGAACATTTGTTGTTCCCTCTTTATACTAAGCAGCAGATTTCACTGTTAGTAACTGAATTTCTGCAGTTGTACTTTTCTCTTTCCAGCATTTCAGAGCCAATGCCTAGAATACCAGCTACATGGGGCTGAAGGAGAGCCAGTGAGACCAACAAAAACAGCACCTTGGTCTGCACTAACCAACTTTTCTTGGGTGGTGTGCTAAAATATGCAGGATTAAGTTTGATGTATGATGAAAAGAATTTCATTTCAAAGAAGTAAATTGCTGGTACAATTCTCTCCAAGTATTCTGGAATAAAATATGCATTTCCTTTAGGTACTGTAAGCCTAATGTATTTTCTGCATTATTCAATGGGGAAAAAACTGCCAGTGTTTTGTGAAGTTTTTAAATCATTTAACCATTAAATACAGTTGGCGTGAGGAATGTAATCTTAATTTTTCCCCTCCTATTTTGGTGGGACAAGGGGAGTTGGGGGGGGTTGTTGGTTTTTTTTAATTTTATTTTTAAATTACATCTCTGAGTGCTTCAAATCAGGTGATAGATATGGTCTGGCAGCATCTTTGTAGCATGTTGGGAAGTTTTATCTGTATTGTACACTTAGACACAGTACTCCCTTGGCCTCCCTGCACACTTGGGCTCCAGGCTGCTGTGTCAATACTGGATGTTAAGTCACTGTCCCTGTTTCACTAGGTTGCTGGAGTATTTTGAGCCCTGCGTAATTTATATTGAGTTATAGAGTCAGGTTGACGCTGCCTGTACATATTGGCAAGTGAATAAGCAATGAGGAAGAGGGAAGGGCTGTTAATCCCTTCTGGATCCTGCTGTGCCTCTGGAATACTTCTGCCCGCGGCCTCAGGTAGTCAGCAACACAGGGAAAACCCAGACAGCGTGTCTCCTGCTCTCGACTGCGGGATGTTCTCCCACACAGAGACGCAATAGAGAGAGATCTTTGTTTGCTTGGGATCAGTCCTTGATTGAGGGTCAATTGATCAGTCCTCGACTGGGGATAAAATTGTCACAGCAACTTCAGTTGGTGGAAATAGCAATGCGTCTGGGGTGCAGGCTCAAGATGAAAATACAGCTTGTGTAAACCCACCCCCATGAGTGGTCTAGTCGCAGCCATGTGGGTTTTGGCTCCGGTCCCTCTGTGGTGACTGCAGTCTGTGCTGCCACACTAGGTTGTTACCAGTATCTGGGTAGCTTATTTCAGGTCAGCACGGGAAGGTCTGTGTGAGATGAAGTCACACCTCTGACTGTAACTGGAATCGATGATAGCTCACACCGACTGTGTTCATGTGACAATGCAGACCAGCTGCCCTAATTCTTTTGCTAACAACTAGCAAATCAGTATCGATGGAAATACGATGGATGTCCACCAAGTGACCTTGAGTAGGACTTTAAAAATCAAGTTTTTCTCCACTTGGTTTTTATGTACCTGATACAACTTAAAATGGTGTCATTCAAAGTGACAGGGAAGTCTGAAAAGGTAATTTATTACCAAGGTGACATATGACGATCTTTATACCGTGGCACCATTCTGATGATTTTATATAAGTAATCACTATATAAAGCAAGATGGAATTTAATGAGTCTGAGAGAAGTCTGTGAGCTGGTGAATAGCAGAAGTTTTGTTAGAGGCGCTCTAGATATGCGGGATTGCTCTGATCTAGCCAGTATGTGCAGTCATAATTGAAACCTGACATTCTCTTTATCAAGGTAAAATATTCCAGTTCAGTCATCCCCAGTCGTCCAAGTGGAATGATGCTGATTATTGCATCCTGGCTTTAATATCTGAATTCAAGAGAAGGTCATGAAATTCTTTATAGAAGTTTGCATGATAGCGATAAAGGGTACAAAAAGGATATTTGAATGGAAGATGCTGTTTTATATTGCTTGCCTTTTGATTCCACCTGCTTGCTGTTCTTCTCGATTCATGCCTACGGATGACACAGTGATACAAGAGCAATGTTTTTCCACCCAGATGTTG